GTTTGAGGGATTAATACCAGCAATATTTGCCTTGCCTAGGACAAGCCTGCCATCTAGTGGCCATCAATGATAACTACAGAATATTGGACTGCCTTCAGCGCATGCACGCATGTGTGCGCGCACACACAAGCATTAATGTAATCCCTAGGCTGTTATATGCCAAGAAATTAATAAGGTAGGTAAGTCATCAGAGAATGCTAGATGAGGAGGTGCGCTATGGCCAGAGCAGCGTGGAAGGCTTCTCTGAGGAATGGACATCAGAACAGAGGTTGCATAAATGTGAGGGACGACAGCACCTGGGAGGATGCTAAAACGGGGGCAGCAAACATGGAGGCTACTGGAGGGATTCTGTTTTTCCCCTCTGGCCTCTGCGCCCCACTGCACCCCCCACCGCAGCAATAATCACTGATGGGAAGTGGGCATGAAACAGTCATAGGATTTGAGATCTCAGAAGCACCCAGAAAGGCTTTAAGAGGCCATGATAAGGAGTTTGGATTTTAGCCCAAGAGTGGTGTAAGGCACTATGTTAATGCTTGGCGGGTACAGAGATGACTATAGCAATTCCTGCCTTCAAGGAGCTTACTGGTAATAAGCAATTATATACACACTCAATTAATTAGAATAAAACTATAATCATTTCTATTACAAAGATAAATGGTATGAAAACATAAATTTTGCATTGCAAAACAAAAAATAATTTTTGATAGTGGTTGTATTAAACTACTAAGTTTTGGGGGTTGTTTATTACACAGGTAACCAAAATATTGAAAACAATCTTTGTCTTTCTATCCCTGAATTACAGACCAGCGACCAGAGAAGCAGAGAAGATATTTACTGACAATGAACAATTTAGTGAAAAGGCAACATTTGAGCCCCTAAAGAAAGTCATGGAGCGAAACATGTCGATCTCTGAGAAATGACCACTGAATTTAGCAAGGTGGGGTGGGGGGTCATTAGTGACTTTAAAAGTGGCTATTTCAGCAGACTGATGGGGTAGCAAACTTGACTGAAATAGACTAAAAAGAATGTGGAAGAAGAAAATTGGAGACAACAAATATAAGCCACACTATTTCTAGGGCTTTTGCTATCCGCGTTTTCCCTGCTATCCAAAAGAAGAGCATTCCTATGACATGTTTCATCCGTAAGGTGCAATGGCTTAAAGCAAAGAAGCAATTACCATTAAGCCTTTTAGGAAATATTTTTTAGTATTCCCAGACCCCCCAAATATCTGCCATGTCACACCGAATAACACATAAACTGAAAATAACACAACCATATAGTAATGGTAGTAACGATATGATAAACACACAGCCATAGAAATGGTATTTTTACAGGGTAGTGTCACTTACCAGTACACACAGCCTCTGTAATGGCTCGCTGCAAAATAAATGCTGAACACTATTTTCGTCTTTCAACTTTGTCATAAAAGTGAACATCCTCTTCTGATTTCTTTCAGTTAGTGAAAACAGGCTCTAACATAAGTCTTTTGTAAAGCGAAGTGGTGTAGAGAAAACTTCTGAAAATCAGGGACTACCTGTAAACAGACAGAAATAGAGTGATAGCTGTGGAAGGAAATGGGAACAGGAAGTTTTCTTTATTATTATCAACTTGCTACATTGTTGTTTTTTAACAAAAGGATAAACATAGTATACAGAGTGGGGCAAAAGTGGGTTTACAGTTGTGAATATGCGAAATAGAGTTTATTCTTGTATTATTTATCAATTACTGTATTGTTTTTAATACGAACAACTGCAAACCTACTTTTGCCCCACCTTGTACTTAAACACCGATGAGAATGATCAGTAGCTACATAGGCAGTCAGGGATCTCTTCCCAAGCGAGAGGCTGAGTACCCAAAGAGCACAGATGGGAACAGAAGTCCTCAATTGTTTCAGTGAGATTAAGAAACAAGGTTGTCATCTAAGAGTAAAGGTGGGAAGAAAGTGGGAGGTGAGGGGAGAGAGGAGGAAATATGGGGTCAAAGATTTACTGGAGCAGGTCTGAAAGAAAGTCAGCTAGAACAATAGGACATCGCTCAATTTCAAAATTAGATCCTGTTACATGCCTTCTGAGAATGTTGTATCTTTGCAAAGCTGGGTTCTTGGCTGTTGCCCTTATAAAGAACAAGTGCCTCTTGAAAATCGGGTGGAACAGGAAACGACATGGCCCCCAGGGATGCTGTGAAAAAATTACGGAGACAATAAGAGCACCATAAGCTGAGAAGGTGTGGGACTCTGGGCTACAGCCCAGAAAGGGAAAGAGAAGGTACAATTCAGAACAGACCACACCCACCTTCACTCAGACAGGTCAAGCCTGACCTGAGGCGAGGGTAAGATCTGAGGCACAGGGAAAAGCTTGCAAAGGGTATTGTTTGATGTAGCAGGCCCATTCCGACCTCAGCATATCTCTGTATTTTTTTTTTCTTTTTACCAAAGCACTTCTTACTCTCCAAAATGAAACATTTATTTCCTTTTCTACATGTTTTGGTCTTTCTTACTACTAGAATGAAGAACCAAGAGAGAAAGGGTTAATAGTCTCGTTCTTCCTCTACTTCTCAATTCTTAACATTGGCATGCCCATGGATCAATAGTGGGCTCCCTTCTCTACCTACAGGATCCCTCAACCCTTGGATATAAATAGTCCATGTGTCATGCTACATATGTATCCAGTGTTGACATCTCTGCAGAATGCCATACTTACACATTCAACTGACTACTTGAAACATGGATACTAAATAGTTACTTTTTATTTAATGTGTTCCTCCCTTCTCCATCCTCCACTTCATTACACTTTAGTTACTCGTCTTACATGCAGTAAATGGCATCATCATTTACTCACGGTGGACACCTAGATGGACAGTTTGGGGCACACGTCAAAAACCTAGCATTTATCCTTAATTGCTCCTTTTCATCTGCAAGTCTGTTGATTCTATTTCCAAAATATATCTCAATTCTAGTTCCTTCTCACCTTGTCCTACTGTTACTGAATTATTTCAAGCAGTGTCTTTTACCTGGGCAGTAGCCCAAACCATATTCCTGCTTCTACTCGATTTTTCATTGTCATCAAAGACACATCTTTGTATCTAAAATTTAGTCATCACACACACACATACACACAACTCTATTTTTAAAAATCTGTCAGTTTCCAATTGCTTTTGAGGCAATCAAGACTCCAAAGGAACCTGTAGGACTCTCATGGTCTGGCTCTGCACACCTAACATTCTGTGGATTGTCCCCACGTTTTTTTTTTTTTCCTGGTTTTATTAATGCCTTTCCCTCCCCTGCTCCCTGACTAATGCTCCTTGAAAGTAGAACTTGGACGTATTGTTTACTGCTATATCTTTAACATCTAATCAAGTAGCAAGCACAGTCATGCATTGCATGTTTTCATCAATGACAGACCGCAAATACCACAGTGGTCCCATAAGATTATAATGGAGCTGAAAATTTTCTATTGTCTAGTGACATCCTAGCCATCATGTCACAGTGCAATGCTTCACTCATGTGATTGTTGTGATGCTGGTATAAACACATCTACCATGGATAAAAATATAGCACATACAATTATGAATAATACTTGATATAATAAATGACTATGATACCAGTTTATGTGTTTACTATACTGTATTCAATATTTTAAAGTATATTCTTTCTATTTATAAAAATGTTTTCTGTAAAACAGTATGTTGTGTTATGGCAGCAGCAACCTAATATTTTTCCAGTTTACCATGTCACTTGATTGAGTCATTTTCTCTTGTGCTTGATTGAATCTCCAGTTGCTTTGTATGGTGACTTAATCTCGGGTTGTTCTGTACAGTAACATGCTGTACAGGTTTGTAACCTAGGAGCAATAGGTTATACCATGTGGCCTAAGTGTGTAGTGGGCTATACCATCTAGGTTTGTGTAAGCGCACTCTCCGATGTTCTCACAATGAAACCGCCCAAGCACTCTTTTCTTAGAATGTACCGCTCGTTTGGTTGTACATGACTGTAGAAAGGGCAGCAAGAGGCAACTCGGCCCCCTCCCCGCAGCTGCACCTGGAATAGTACTTCTCTCCCTTCACTGAACGGCGCCGGAGCCATTCCCGGCTCTCTTGTCGGGCGATCTCAGCCTCACTGCCGGGAACTGTGCGGAGCAGTGGCTCACATTCGCAGCATCAGAGCCCAGCGCCGGCACCGACTATCTGTGCGATTTACATCTGTGCACATCGGGGCGTGTCCTCCGCCACAGGGTGGAAAGGAGTACCACCCTTGGGGCTGCTGTGCGGGTTACCCGTGTTGGGGGCGTGGGAGAGGATGACTACATAGACTAGTCTACTAGGCTCTCCTTCCCAAGAGGCCCCCCTCTCTGTGAAATGAACACTGAGCGCCCACCCGGCTGCTATATCGATGATTCCAGAAATCAAAACACGTGTCTGCCTCAACTCTTTGTTCCTTAGCCTGAGTTCTCCCTGCGTGGACCCTAGTGAATTGAAGAAATAACTTGCTGTCTTTGGGCTTTATCCCAAGAGTAAACCCACACCCCACAACCTTCCACTGCACGCTCCCCCCCTCCCGGCGGACGATGACTCTGGGAAATCAGCCGAGTCGGAGGGCAGGACGCGCTCGAACTGCGCAGGCGCCACGCCCAGCCCAGGCCCGCGCTCCCAGCTCGCGCAGGCGCGGCCGACTCCTGTCTTTTGGGATTCCCTCCTTCTTTGGCCCGATTAATGTCTTTCCTCTGTTCCTTCTTTGACGCGTTTTTTAATCCTCACACCGGTCTCGGGAACATTTTTGTTTTTAATAGCTTCAGCAGCTGCCTGCAATTTTAATCACGTTACTTCCCAATCACTGCAGAACCTCGCCTCTCAGTCCCAAGGACCAGCCTCCAAGGACGAAGCAGGCGTCCGCGGCGCAAATCTCGCGAGAAGCCGGCCGTCTCACGCGGCATTTCCGTGTTACCAGAATCCTTAGCGCGAGGCGGAAACACATTCATTTATCCTAGCTTGTGTTTTCCCGGGGCGTTTGCGCCCTGCGTCCTGTTGCTGTGTCTGCGACGCTGATGGCGGCCCCCGAGCAGCCGCTGCCGATGTCTCGAGGATGCCAGAGCTCTGCTTCGCTCTCCCCGCCGCGGGGCGACCGGACCCTCCTAGTAAGGCACCTGCCAGCCGAGCTGACCGCGGAGGAGAAAGAGGACTTGCTCAAGTACTTCGGGGCGCAGTCCGTACGCGTCCTGTCCGATAAGGGACGTCTGGTAAGGGCGCGCCGGTCCCCCCACCCGCAGGGCCCGGGGCGGCCGACCCGGGGGGAAGACGGATAGTAGTGGAGAGGCGCTCGCGTGGGGGCGTCCCTGCTTTGCAGCCGGCTCTGCGTGCCAGGGGACGTTTTAGTGGGCTGCAGCCTGGGTCGGTGACAGCCGCGGACACGGCCAGTGAGAAAGGCGAGGCAGGAGAATGGGTCGTGGCTCGGTCGTGTTCCCTCCCCGACCCATTCTGGGAATCCCCAGACTCCGAATTTAGGGCTGTTTCACTCCGTACTCTCGGAAATACGGAACAAAGAACTTAAAAAAAAAAAACTCGATTCATTTATAAGCCAGTGTTAAGACACTCGATTAGCATAGAGGAGAAACTACCAACTAGTGATAGCATTTCTATTTTCTTTCTTTTGTACCTGAAGATGTTTTAGATGGATTTGTCTGCATTAAGAGTAAGGCGCTAAGTTTCTGCAAGATGGTCTTAGATGGGGCAAGTCACCAAAAGTTCTGAAGTCTCCCCAGATGATTCTGATATGCAGCCAGGGTTGAGACCAGTTTTGATCACAGTGTCATGTACAGTAAGTCCTCAGTGTCGTTGATCGGTTTCACAACTTTAAGCAGAACTACGAAGGAGTCCAGTTTTCCCATAGGCTGACTGGTATAAACAAAGAGTTAAGTTCCTGAGACAGCTCATCAGCCTTAATAACGAGAGGACTTTTAACAAAATGACATTCGAGGACCTGTTGTATACCAGCAAATGCAAATATTCTATGTGATTCAGTTTAAGTACACTTAATTAGGTTATCTTGATTCAGATTAGACCAATGCATAATTACTCAATCAGTTTTCAATGCTTTGGTGAGCATTGGCAAGAACTCTTCCTTAGCATAATTTATTTTATGTTCCTTTTCTGATGGTTTTAAAAAATATTTACAATTTATATTTAAAAATAGACTTCTCCCATTGAGCCCTTATTACAAAGATAAAGCCTTAAGGAAGCATGTGCTCAAGGAAGTACTTTTTGTTGGATCTTTTACACTCTGCATTTGGCTGTGTAAAGTTTAAGATCTTTAGATGTGTTATAAAGTGGCAGGTATTTTATAGTTTTGGGTGGTTTAAGGATGGTCCTTTGGGTATAGAAGCAGTTTTGAACTTCTGGTCTGTTGTACTATTTGACAGTATATGTGGAATGTGCAGTGTGTGTTTGCATAACTGTATACAAAAAAGGCTACATAGTTTTCATCTCCAGTCTGATCCAGGGAAGATTCAGAACCACTGTAATGAAATTAATAGTAATCAGTTAAAATGATCTCAATTTTTCATCCTGTTCCAAAATTTTATTGTGTCAAATCACTGTTAACTGGTAAAATATCAGATTTCCTTATGAAAAACTGAAATTATATTAGAAATAATCTTTACCTTAATTCTTTTTCAGAAACATACAGCGTTTGCTACTTTCCCTAATGAAAAAGCTGCTATAAAGGTATGACTTTTTCTTTACTATTAAAGTTATTAGCAATTTTCTATAATCTTGGTTCAAAACTAAAACATAATGTTAAACTATAGTTTTAACAAGCAAAAGCGTTTGTATATCAAGATATGGCCCCACAGGCTATATTTGGTGTGTCAGTTTGCAGATCTTACACAAATTTTAGGTTTTTGGACATAAGAATAATCGATTAACAGTGTACTAGATACCCTCACTGAGGTTCACATTCTCAAAAAGGGAGACAAATCATAAATAACTAACTTAAATTGTTTAATATTTTAGAACGTGATAAATGCTAGGAAAAGAAAAAAGAGCAGTAGGATCAGGAGTGCTGAGTTGGGAGGGCTAAGTTTCAGTTAACATGGTCAGGGTTGTATTTAAGCGGCAGTTTGAAGGAGGTGAAGGAAGTTAGCTAAGGGGTGTCTGGAAGAGTGCATTGCAGGCAGATGAATAGCCAGAGCAGGGGCTCTAGTGCAAGAGCATGTCTTCCTGCTCAAGTAAGCCCGTGTGGCCGAAGCAGACAAAATGAGAGGGCGATCATTGGATTTGAGGTTAAAAAAGTAATATGTGTCATATCAGGTATTATAAGTACCCAAGATTTTACTTTGAGCAAAATGGGTAGCCATTGTAGTATTTTGAGCAAACAGTAACATAATCTGACTTACATATTTAAAATGATTACTTTGGCTGTTGTGTTGAGAACAGATGTGAAAGAGTAAAAACAGGGAAATCTGTTACAATATTTTTGTGGTAATTCAATCTAGAGATGATGGTGTTTGCTTGGCCCACGGTTATAGCAGTGGAGAGGGTAAGACATGGTTAGATTCTGGTTGTATTTTGAAGGTGGAGACATATAGTTTGAATATGCAATGTGGAAAGAAGTGTTTATGGATGATTCCAAGGTTTTAGACATGAGTAAGTGGAAGAATGGTTACCATCAACTGAAATGGGGAAGGTTCCAGATGGAGAACATTTGGGAGGTTAGGGAGAGAAGATGAGTGTCTCCCTTTCTGAAGTTTTTATTTTGGATGCTTATTAGTCACCCAGGGGGAGCTATCTAGTAGGTTGGATGTATGTTTCTGAACTTTAGGACAGAAGCTTGGGCTGAAGTTATAAATGAATCATAGAGATGGTGTTTATACTTAAGATTCCTTGTTTAGATCACCAAGCAATTAGGTAGAGAGGACCAATAATAGTTATGGAGTATGCCAGTATTAAGAGTTTGAGAAGGCACAAGCCAAAGAGATTGAGGAGTAGAAACTAGTGAAAGAAAATTATAGGAAACTATGGTGTTTTGACACCAAGTGAAGAACATGTATCAGGAGGGAGAGATCAACTGTGTTAAATGCAGTAAAATGAAGACTGACCATTGGCCTTTGCCTTGGCAATACAGAATTTATTGTTATCTATGACAGGCAATGTCAGTGCACTTGACTAAGGCATGAGCTAATTTGGAATGCGTTTGAGACTAGATGGGAGGAGAGGGATTTTAGTTAGAGGGCTTAGGTAATTCTTAAGGAGTTTTACTGCAAGGGTAATTAAAAGGGGAAGCAGTGGTAAATAGGATCACTAGATGAAGAAAAAAATTAGGATGGGAAAAATAGGAGCACGTTGTATACTGATGTGTGGATGCCCCTGTGGAGGACACGATTAGCAGTGTAGGTAAGACCATTCTCTATACAATTCTAGGGAGTAGAAGAGGGACTCGTGAGTAGATATGAGAGAGGGTGGGAATTAGGATCCAAATCGAGCAACTGGATAAAGATAAAAACATGGATATTTAATACTGTGAAAACAGATGAGCGAGAGAATGTGTGAATGCAGATGCTGATAGGTGGGAGTTATGTTGGGAATCAGAAGTTCTCATCTGGTCACTTCAGTTTTCTCAAAGTAGGAAACAAGGTCCTATGCTAAAAGAATAGGAAAGAAATATTGTGAGGTTGAGGAACAAAGATTGGCTGGTAAAAAAAATGAACTAAAAATATAATATGGAATTCTGTGGCATCATCCTGGCCCACCCTCAGATTTGTGGTCATGGTCTTGAAGTTAAAGTGAGACAGAGCAGATGCATTGTCCTTATTTTCTAACCATTTCCAGCTGCCTGAGAATAAACAGAGTTGGATTTAACCAGACTTTAGTTTTGCTAAGTGATAGGAAACAGTCCTTAATAAGTAGACAGGCTTGACAGCCTGAGATGAGAAATGGGTAAGAACTAGCCAATGAAGCGATAACAGCATTAACAAAGAGCATGTATAAATGTGGATGGTCTCTAACATACAACTTTTAGTGTATTTATCAAACTTTTTACTCTTTTCTTCCAAATGAAGGCATTGACAAGACTCCACCAGCTGAAGCTTTTAGGTCACACTTTAGTTGTTGAATTTGCAAAAGAGCAAGATCAAGTTCAGTCCCCATGTCCCTCTTCAAGCACTGACAGAAAGAAAAGGTATGTAGGTAGTAAGGTTTTCCTAACATTTTACAGTGCTCTGCAATCAGTTTTATTGCTACTGGATTGTTTTCAGACTAGCAAGTAAATAATTCGAAACAATAAATGATACATCTCTCTCTAATTGAATCTAGTACATTAAAACAATATATTTTTGTTTCTAATCCTGCATTGGGAGTTGATTTAATACAGTATTAGGAATTAATGTGAAGTGGAAAGAGAGTAAAGTATCCAACTTTACATGAAGGGAAGGTAACTAGCATAAAGTCTTTGTTGTAGTCCAGATAATGGGTGTCATGGATAGGCATGGCCTTTGAAATCAAAGCCTGGTATTGGTTCCTCGCTATAACTCTTTGTGGTTATATAAGCTTTAAGAATTTCCTGAACATTCGATTCAGAAAAGGCTAGTCCCTGGATGGGCCTCATCCTCTAGGATCTTGATTGGAATACAGATTTTTGGGCCTTAACCCAGTCCTACTGAATTAGAAATTGGGGGAGGGAGTGGTAAAATGAACATTGAAGAAATTGGAGCATCACTATTGTGCACCATGTAAACTTCTGGGGATTTAATGGTCAGTGGGATTTGTCACACCATCTCCATAGGGTTGCAGTGCAGAGTAGATGAAACGTGGCATGCCTTGTACAGTACCTGGAAGTTTTATTTATTATGGAACTGCTTTTCATAATGCTATGTGTGCAAAGATGTTTCTGTGTGTGCAGTTTTTCACTTTATTTCTGAAGATAAGATCAACTTTGATTCTGTATATCCTAGGTCTGATGAACCTGTGGAAGAGGATAAAGAAAAGAAAGAACTTGGTTGTTTAACTATAGAAAATGGAATTGCACCAAACCATGGGTTAGTGCTTTTTGTATTTTGTTGTTCTGGGTGTGTATGTGTGTGTGTGTTTGTGTATTGCAAATCAAATATTTTTTAAAAGGGATATTTTGTCATGTATATTTTAATCTGTTGATTAAACATTTTGAGCTCTATGAGATTATTACTGAATTTGGCTTTATTAGAATGTTCAGAGCTATAAGATAAGGTTTGATAAGAAATATATTACTTTTCTTTATTGCAGTCGGAAGGCAAGTTTCTTTTTAAATGGACTCATTTGGATATATTAGGCACAAAGTAAATCTAGAGCAATGAATTATTTGAAGTTTTATATGTTATCAGATTACCTAATATGAGTTATTGATATGAAACTCAATAAAACGTGATAAGCATTTTAAATATTTCTTTTAGGCTCACTTTTCCTCTAAATTCATGCCTCAAGTACATGTACCCACCGCCATCCAGCACAATCCTGGCAAACATTGTGAATGCTTTGGCAAGTGTGCCTAAGTTCTATGTACAGGTAAGTAGAATAAAACCAACTTTCCTCAAAGTAAATGCCTATATAACTTGATATGTTATTTTCCATGTTAATTCTCATAGTTTTTCATATAGTATTAATTAGACTAATTCCAACAGGCAGTGATACTACCATATTTTAAAGGTGTCTTAATCAGTTTAGTCTGCTGTAACTAAGGGCCACAGACAGGCGGCTTATGAACAGCAGAAAGTTATTTTTCATTTACTGGAATCTGGAAGCTCAAGACCAGGGTGCCAGCGTGGTGGGATTCGGGGGGTAGGGGTGGAGGGACACGTCTGGGTTGCAGGTGACTGTTTTTTTCTGTGCATCCTCACATAGCGGGAGGAGGGTGAGAGAGTCTAAGGGTCCCTGTCATGAGGGACAGTAATCCCATTCATGGGGGTTCTACCATATGACCTCATTACTTCCCAAGCCCCCTCCCTTAATACCATCACATTGGGGATTAATATTCAACATGTGAATTTGGGAAGTGGGGTAGGTCACAAACATTGAGTCCACTTCAGATGGTAATGAAATATTGCTACATTCAGGTAAAGGCTTTTATAAACTACAGCATAGGCCAACTGGTATGTTTAGTGTTAATAATACTAATAAACATAAGGTAATTTGGGAAATAAAATTTCTGGTAATTTTTTTGTTACTTTAGCATACACCTTTAAGTAGAGATTCTTTCTTAAAGGAAGAGACAGAGTTGACCCCTTGGCAAGTGTTTGGAAGAATTGATAGTAATGAGATACTTTTTGAAGTATAGAACATAGGTAATGTTTATTTTCTTATTTTACTTCTCTGTATATCCTGATTTCACAATAATGAAGGGGAAAATAACATTCAGAAGATTTTACACTTTAATAATAAGAATAATATATATAGAATTGACAAACATATAGAAGGCTAATCTGAGATACACCAGGGCCTTGCTTTAGACTGTCCTGGGATTATAAAGGCGAAAAGTCTGCCGGCCTCTGTGTTATTGCAGAGTTTTTAAGTACATAAAATATGTGAGTTGAATCATCATTTTACTAAGTGATCTTAAATGTTATATCACTTTAAGGTGCTTCATCTTATGAATAAAATGAATTTGCCCACACCTTTTGGACCAATCACTGCACGACCTCCCATGGTAAGAAAGCTCTTAAAATTTTCAAGGTTTAAAACTTATTTTCCAGAAGTGGGATTATTGAGGCTGCATGTTGCAGATGTTGTGCCAGTGACCTCTAATGTGCACTGAAAATAAGGAGCAAATACACAGTTAATGTGATGATAACAAGGGGTAAGTGGAGACTGAAAGTGGGAGAGAGCTAGAGGAGGCCCTCACCTCTGCCAGCGTGTTAGTCCTTTGATCCAGAGCCATGAGCCCTCCTGTGAGATAATCACATGGAACACACGGAATTACTTCAAATTCCCATTGTTCCAGTTTTTTTTGCATGTAGAGCTTTATTTGCAGAAGAAAGGTTGCTAATATTTTAATTAGACTTTACTATGCAAATTCATCAGTAATTTAGATTATAGGCTTTGTCTGTTCTTGAATAATTCTAGTTGTTATTTTTGCCATAGTCCTTGTTTAGATAATAGCAATGAGAAATTATTATTAATATTAGTATTTAAAACTCATCTTTATTGAATATATTACAGATGCACCTCCCCCCTTCTTTTCCCCTGTTGACCACCTCCTCCCCACTCCCATTCCTCTCCAGCCTTCCTACACTATTTTCTGTGTCCATTGGTTATGCATTTGTGCATATAAGTTCTTTGGTTTATCTCTTCCCACCTCCCCCCTTCCCTTTGAAGTTCATTAGTAGAAAATTTGCTTTTCTTTTGTGTATTTTGGATTGGCTGCTTTTCCACTGTGTATACTATTAGCATCATCATTTTCCTCTGTAACCCACCGCCTCATTGCCTGGCATGGTGCAGGGATATTAGTTAAGAGCATGTTAGCTGCAGTTAACAAAATATATTCAAGTCTTAGTCACTTAACGCAGTATTAGTTAGTTCTTGCTCATGTCAGAGTCATTCCAAAAACACAGCAGAATGATATTCTGCTCTACTGAGTCTTTAAACAGACCCCAGTTGACTCCAGGTTAATGAGGGCGTTGCCGCACAGTCTGCAGAGCAAGGAAGGGTAGAAGCACATGTGTGGAAAGTTTTTATGCCAACGTTCCGCTGGCTAAAACTCAGTTCCATGGTGAAATCTGACTGGCAGCAGCATTTGGAAATTCATTCCAGCCAGGTGTCCAGGAAGAAGAAACATGTTTTTTGCTCAGCTAGCCGCCTGTCACAGCTGCTGTCCCTCCCTCTGTGTGGAGTGTGTGAGAATATCGTGAGCTAGAGAGAGATGCGAGCCATGCATCTGAATGGAAGTGGTTTTCCTGTTCCGATAACATCATGGGTTGTTTTTGTTTAGTATGAAGACTATCTGCCGTTACACGCACCTCTGCCACCTGCGTCTCCTCGGCCACCGGAGGAACCTCCTCTGCCAGATGAAGATGAGGACTTGTCTAGTAAAGAGTCAGAATACGAAAGCAGTGATGAGGAAGACAGACAGAGGTCTGTGATTTCAAGTAATATTTGTTTAGATTCTAAGGAACACAAACTACTGGAAAGAGATGTTCTTGCTGTTCTTAATTTAATTCTCCATGATTTGGGGATATTAGAATTTACTCATCCCTGGCTCTACTCTCTCAAGCATGTAGTAGTTATAAACTCTTTTTTTTCCTTAATCCTCACCCAAGGATATGTTTACTGATTTTTTTTTTTTTAACAGCAGGAAGGGAGGGAAGGAGAGGGAGAGAGAAAGACAGAGAGAGAGAGAGAGAGAGAGAGAGACATCCGTGTGAGAGAGAAGCATCTATCTGTTGTGTCATGTACATGCCTTAACTGGGGATTGAACCCAAAACCTGGTGCACAGAACAATGCTCTAACCAACTGAGCCACTTGGCCAGAGCAAACATGATATTTCTAGATTAAGACTTGAGACTAGATATCAGGACCTAAGGAAAAATTTTTGGATGATGAGTCATTTTTTAGAGTTATGATTATGGTGTGATAAAGTACAATTGATCCTCATTTGTGAATTCCATATTCATGAATTTGCCTACTTACTAAAATGTATGCATGACTCCAAAATCAGTAGTCGCAGTGCTCGTAGGGTCCTTTGCGGACGAGGGCATGCAGGGATGGTGACACATTTGAGTTCGATATGCACAGTCCTAGATAAGTAGGACACTGCCTTCCTGTGTCAGCTCTTGTTCTGTAACAAGTGTCCTTTTCATGGTCTATTTAATAGCACATTTTCCCCATTTTTGCATTATACATTAGTGATTTTGCCATTTTAAATGGTCCCCAAGCATAGTGTTGATGTGCTAATATTTCCAAGATCAAGAGCACTGAGCTGTGCCCTGTGGAGCAAACACGTAATAGACAAGTCTGTTCAGGCATGAATTTCGGTGCTGTGGACTGAGAGGAAGGGAGAGGGAGAGAGAGGTAGAAACATCAATGAGAGAGAATATCGATTGGTAGCCTCTTGGTGCATGGGTTGATGCTCAACCAGTGAGCCCCACCGGCCGGGCAGCAGTGTATATTAATAATGTAATAACACATGCAAAATGACGTCGTATTGATCATTTGATAGAATGGTATGAGCAGAGGCTTGCAGGAACCTACTCCTGATTCCCTAGGGGCAGCGATCCATTAGTCACTGATTTTTTTGTTTATGGAGATTTTATAGAATATAAATATCTGAAAGAAGAATACTAGATTGCATTCATACTTTTTTAGCTTATTCCCCTGGACTTACCTCAGAAAAATTCCTAGAACAATTCTGTAGGATTCCATAACAAACTATTAATAGTAACTACTGCAGATGAATTGTTTTTTAATTGGTTGTTTTTAATTGACAATCTACATATATGTTATTGAATGATTCTGATGAAGAGCAGGAGGCTGATAATAATGTTCAGCTATATAATCCACAGCACAGCCTAGAGCAGGAATTGCTAAACACTCTGGCTAAAGCCAATGAGTTTTGTTGTAGTAGGAAAGCACACATAACAATACCTAAATGAGTGAATGAGCCTGTGTTCCAAAACACTTTCTATTTACAGAAACAGGCAGCTTGATTTGTTCCTTGGGCTGTAATTTGCCTTCCCAGCCTTGAAGACTGGTATGGACAAATGATGGGAATCAGATACAGAGGGAGTGGTCGACATGAGTCAAAATCCAAGCAGGGAATTTGGCAACAAACAATCAGCAAATTAATTATGAGTGAGTCAACATTCACTTAAGTAGTAGCTCAATATATGTTCTCTTTCTAGGGAAAGAGTTAAATCAATGTGTAGGGGGGAGCTGAAATTACATATGTAATAGTGGTACGTGGAGTATCTGTCTTGAATAGAGACTCTTAGGAAGGCCTACAGTTCTTAATAGACTGTAACTTTAATTTGTTGCTAAAGAAAGAACAGTATGGAGTGTACTACATTGGGTTATTATCCTCTGTAAATTTTACTTGTTTATAAAAAATAATGATAGCAAATAGAAGAGCTACATGTAAACTGGCCAAAACCATTTTTGCTTGTTTTTGTTTCATTATGTTTACAGAGTCATGAGAACAAAGTCTTTTTATGAACCGATCTCGTTTCATGCCTCTCTATTATCTTCTGGAAATGCGTTTTATTTTATCTTATTTTTTAATTTAATGGCATTGTTTATTTATTCAGCAACTATTTAGTGATTACCAATTATAAGCCTGGAACTGTTGTAGAGACTTAGTGTAGAGTGGATGAACAATTTATGAATATAGACTTGCTTTGTTTAACTGGATTTATTCATAAAAGTTTTGGTTGGCCACGGTTAAAGTTGAAAGTTTACAGTATGTGTTTACATTTTTCCTTGCTTAGGACAAAAGGTTTAAAATTTATTTTAACCACACTCTTCTCCTCCTTTCCTGCATTTTATTGTGTGTATGTTTGTTTTGCTTTTATATTGCACAAATGTTAGTAGAGTTGTGACTAGTGGGTTTTGAACTTCTGCTCTGTGGAACAGAGTTGATCCTGTGGAAGACACAAAAATGCTAAGATCTGTTCTAAATATTACTCATAATGGAAATAAACTAAATATATAGGGTATCGATTGCCATGCCTTGATTGTTGCATATAAGCTACTTCAGAATATAGTATCTGAAAACTTTGTTCTCAAGTAAGTTACTCAGTTAGATGATTTGCAACAATTATATACAAAATATTTCTAAATAAAAATACTTCAGTCCAGGTCTCTTTAATAATTAGAATATGAATCAAAATAATTTCACTGTGTTTGTAAGGCCTTCTAAATAGCAGTCCAGAAAAGAGCGGTAAAGTTACACAGATTGTATTAGTCTATCCTATTCATTTTGCTTGCCATCATGTCCAGCCATTACGGTGGGGGGAGGGGGTAACTAATAATTTTTATAATAAATCTTATCGTTAAAAGATAAATTAAGTAAATTTCCAATTTTGTCAAAGTAAGATGAAAGTTGAACAAAGAGATTTAGAACCTGTTCTTTTGTCAAATGGATTATATCTGAATTGATTGCTTAGAAATACTTACAGCATACAAATTATTTTATAATTTATAAACCCAAGAATGGATTTAAGACCAACAGAAACAGTAGTGAATAATTGTGCATCTATAATAGGAAATGTCTTTTCCCTTTCCCTTCCCCCAATGTAGAGTGGCCAAACTAATGGAATTAGCGAATCTTCAGCCCAAAAGACCAAAAGCAACGAAGCAGCGCCATGTTAGAAAAAAGCGAAAGATAAAGGACATGCTGCTCCCACCCACGTCTGTCTCACACAGGTGAGGTTGCATTCTGAGTACGGGCTCTGGGTGTGCTTGTCTGCTTGCTTAACTCGCATTATTTGAAAACAGTCATGAAATAAATTTTACTTGCCTGTTTGCTGTGGAATTCTATGTATTTTAATATCTTACTCAGATAAAGTTACTCTTAATTGCAACTTTAATTTCATTTAACTTTTCTACACTGTAAATTTTTCTTTAAAGGAATGAGTCTTTAATCCTTGTTTTTTTCATTTCACTTTAAGTATGCTCCCTGCCTATGTGTGTCCTGACACCACATGCATTTAATTTCTGTAGCAGCACCGAACAGTTCAAAAAATTAACAAGATCAAGTTTTCTAATAGCTACAGTGGAAGAATAAAAAGAAACAGATGAAATTGATATTAATAATATATTTTATCTTACCTTATCTTACCCATTATATACAAAGTATTATCCAGCATATAATTAATATAAAAAGTTATTGATGTTTTAGTCTGGTGTGTATTTTCTTCTTGCAGCATATTTTAATCTGGACAGCAACATTTCAGGTGCTCATTAGCTACTCTGTTGGACAACTTTGTTATATAGTATGTAGAATACAGTGCACAAAATGCCTATATTAAATGGAGAATGAGCTTTTTGGCATGTTGTTAAATACCCTTCGGTTCACAATCAATAGTCCTCACGTACTGTCTCTGTCACCTACTGAGTGAGTTGATGCAACTTCTTAACATGTCTTTGGTCTCTTTGTCTATCTAAATAGGAACTTAACAGTACTTACATTAGGACATTTGTCAGGGTTTATTGAAATATTAAATGGAAATTTTACTTTTGGAACTACCTATAGTGTTGCGTGCTTTATCAGTGTTAGCTTTTTAAATGTACAGTAAATATGAAATAGTGTTTTACTCGAGATATCATTTGCGGTTACAAAGCAATGCTGTGATTGTTTATGAACAGCAGTTTACACTCGGTGCTGTCGCCTTCGGATGTGTTTGATCAACCACAACCTGTAGGGAATAAAAAAATCGAATTCCACATATCTACCGACATGCCAGCTGCATTTAAGAAAGATTTGGAAAAGGAAGAAGATTTTGAAGAACTAAATCCTGGTAAGCATGATCTAGTTCTTCTCAGAGTTTTGTGTTAGAATTATATTAGAAACCTATAGTTTCTGTCTTAGTATTTGTGAACTCTATTTAAAATAAGCAGGTAAGTCTTTCTAAGTATCATGGAATACTATCCATTGTGAACTTTTTTATATAATGAAAACTGGTGGTTCACAATGAGAATGCCACTGTTGCCCTTTGTTAGTAATGAACTCCAGGATAAAATTTAGTCTGGTTTGTACTGTTGTTTACACTAAAAATATAATAGAATAATTTCTTGTGTTGATTTATTTTTTTCATTGCTTGTTAAATGTGATGGTCAATGGTTCTGTTAGTAGAATCGTATTATTGGTTAGGAAACAGCAATGTAACCCCCTTGTGACTTGTAGATTTTATATAACTTTTTTTTTAATCTAAAGAACGTGAAAGATCATTTACCAAGATACTGTTTTAAATTTAAAGATAATTTATTGAAATTATAGATTCTTTTTTTTGCTTATTTTAGGCATTAATTTGATGTTATAATGACATTACTTTGTTCTTTAAATCTTTTAATTTTGGAAATAATACAAGCTAACACTTCAGACTCCATTGTCCCCTATTCCATGAATTAGAAATAACCACGGTTAATCATTTGGTACATAGATATCCTTCCAGACCTTATTCTGTACACGGGCGACACATTTTATTTTTTTTTCTGTTTGTACAAGGGCATCACGTTTTACATAGTATTCGTCATTGACTCAGTAATGACTAAATGAGAGCATAGAGCGTAGCAGGCTCTGTGCAAGACCCTAGAGGACAGATTAGACATGGTCCCTGATCTTTTGGAGTTTAAAGTCTAGTGGGAGTGGCTTATGTCCAAACTTACAAATACACATTTTACTTTTTTATGGCTGCATAATACTCAATAGTATAGTTATACTATTTGCTCCTACCCTGTTGATAGAAGTTGAGGTTGTTTCCATTTTTGTACTATTACAGAAAACACTGGAACGTACATTTTTGTTCATATATGTTGAAGCACTGGTGTGGATATCGGTAGAGTTCTAGCAGATATTGCAGAGGCATCGCATAGAAAAACCAGCTGGTGTGAATTCCTGTCTCTGCCGTGCTGAGTGAGGGTGCATTGCCGTCTCAGCTCGCTCCTGTTTCAGTGCTTGATTGTTTCAGTACTTATAATTTTCTTTGTGTATGGCTTTTTTTCTAATCTTATAGCTAGTCACACATTTTTATTTTTTAAGCTTAATTTATTCAGGGGCTTAGACCTATGTTGAGAGGGAGGCAGCTGTCCCATTCGACCTCAGTGTCAATAGTGATGTTGAAGTAGCAGTTTCAAGTTTGTCTCATGTTGATGCCCACAGGCCACAGGTCTGCTTTCACAGGTTTTTGTGCATTATGAAGACACTTCATACTCCTAAATGCAGCATGTTCTTTGCATCATTTTCACAACTTTTTAGAGATTTTGCTGTTTCTTTGTAGGTACTATAACTGGGCTTTTTCTAGTGAATGATTATCCCTAACCCTTCCCAACTCTCTCCCCAATGCCAGTTTAATTTTTGCTGAAGCTAAAATTCATGTTTTGTTAATGAAATCCATTTCATCTAAAATTTAAAATTTGCAATATTTTTTAATATTCCTGATTAAACGAGTCATTTCTTAAGTGTTCAAATAATTATTTTTCTTTACTTCTTGTAGGACCAAGATTAGGATCGACTATTTTGTTGTTATTGTTGGAGGTTTAATGGATTTATTTTAGTACATTCAATAGGAATGCTTTATATTATGATGTTTATTCAAGCAATCTGCTAATTTTAATATTTTAATCATCGTTGAGAAGGTTGATAGTTGTTTCACAGTATTCTGATGTAGCACTATTAAATCTTTATACCCACTGTATAAATAATCTTGAATGACCATATCCCATCTGCAGAATGCCTTTTATAATTATGTAATTTTTTAATGAATTGAAAATTTCTTTTTACACAATTACTAATAGTAATGAGTGGGTAGGTTAAACAAAATATTGATTGTTGACCCCCAAGCACACATTCTACCTCTCTGAGTAAACATTTTATTGGATGCCCCTCTGGTACTTCAAACTAAATAGAAACTAAATATGGAGTGGGAAAAAAGTAGGTGACATTCTTTTGAGTTAGTAAACCTGTTATAATAATCATAACCTGCATGTCTTTTTCCATACGAACACCTGTAAACCTGCTTTGCCCTCCCCGTATATTGAAAATGAATTCGTTTCCTTTCCACTTTCCAGGCCTCTACATGGCACCACAAAGCAGCCATCTGACTGTTTGCTCTTGTCTGTCACTGTTTTTATGTCACAGTGGCAGGTGAATAATCAGGACAGAAACCATCTGGCCTGCAAACCCTAAAAGATTTACTGTTTGAACCTTTACAGATAAAGTTTGCCTACCTCTGTTCTAAAGTACTGAGAAAAACACCAGAGGGCTCATTGCCATATCTTAAAAATTAAATGGGAAACTAAGACTGTCTTGAAGGAAGGGTTGTTAATGGCTGCTGTTAATGTTAACTCTTAGATTTACCTGCTGCTGCTGACGTTGATGAGTCCAGTATAGGATTTGGGAAGATCTTCCCCAAACCTAATCTGAACATCACGGAGGAAAGTAAAGAAGACTCTGATGAGATGCCATCAGAATGTATTTCTAGAAGGGAGCTGGAAAAGGGCAGGATTTCTAGAGAAGGTAATTTCATGAAATAAACCAGCACTTACTCTGTTTTACGTTTTTTTGACCCTTCAGAAATAAAACAGTTTTCTTCATGTTATTTACCCATAGGCATAGACTTCAAAACATCTCTCCAGTTAATGTTTTTCATCACCACTTTTGGGTGTTAATACTCATACTTCATAGGGAGAAAAGTCTCACAATACACTTCCAATTCATATTTGTTTGGAAAATATTTTGGTTTCCATTCCTAAAACTTTTCCATGACATCTTAGACAGGATCCTGTGGCCCACATTCTGGAGCTATGTATTCCAGCTAATAGATCGTCACGGTGCTGCATCTGAGAGTCATGAAAGCCACCGTTTGTTTAAAAATAATAATTTTAATCATTTGGTGATTGGAAGTCTGTATTTAAGGATTTTATATCTAACATGCTAGCTTTTTACTTCCAAAGAATTTGTTCTGTTTTTGTACATTTTAGGAAAATATTTAGGAATTTTAGATGGACATGTAACACCTTATAACTTTTCCCATGATATTGGGAAATAGGCTTCTAACAGGCATTTTTGATAGAATATCTCGTTGTCAGGAACAGATTATTGACACTAAGTAGAAGTAGCAGTATAGGGGCTTAGAAGTTACAGTTTGTCTGAAATAACTTGATAATTATGTTTGAGTACTTCGTTCTTACATTGGAATATGCTGGTGCCTAGAGGTTTGGGAAATTGACTTGAAGCAAATCAATTGCACCAACTAGTGATAACATTAATTTGGTTCTGTCTTTCTAGTAAAGTAACTCATCTTAAAGAACCTTTAATAGTAGATATTTTATTGGATAAATTTTAGTTATTTTAGAAGCCTGAAAATTTTCAGCTTTATTCCATATTATCAGTATAGATTTTTAATGGTATTTTTATCCCACTAGTAACATTGCTACTCATTTTTATGGTTTTACCATTTTCATAATGCTAATTTTTTCTATTTATATTTGAATGTTATAGTTTTGTAAAATTGATAAAAAATATCTTAATTTTATATCCTTGTTTGTTTTTAAATAAGAAATGGAAACACTTTCGGTTTTCAGAAGTTATGAACCTGGCGAACCAAACTGTAGGATTTATGTAAAGAATTTAGCTAAACATGTTCAAGAAAAGGTAGGTTGAAATTTATAAATAAATTTTATTATTTTATTTATTTATTTTTTTGCCAGGCTTTCTTACTTGTTTATTTCTTGTTGAAATTCTAGGACCTTAAATTTATTTTTGGAAGATACGTTAACTTTTCATCAGAAACACAGCGAATAATGTAAGTGGTAGTCATATTTTCAGATTCTTTTTTCTTTTAATCTGTTACTAAGTAACTCTTGTTTATCCCAACATTTTTCCTTTAGTGATAAACAGGAGTCAGCAAACTTCTCTGTAAACGGGCAGATAGTAAAAATGTAATATTTTAACTTTACTGCAGGCTATCTGGTGCCTGCAGCAGCTCAGTTGTGCCTGCAGCAGCATGACAGCAGCCGTGAGCAGTGTGTGAAGCCTGTTTGTGGCTGAGCTCCACTGAACCGCGCTTATAGAAATAGGCCTCACCGTAAGCTCCGGCTCCAGGGCAGACCTTCCCAGACGCTACCCTGCATAGGATCCCCTGGAGAGCTTGCTGAAGCAGTTTGCAGGTCCATCCCCAGAGAGTCTGGTTTTCTGGGTTGAGGCAGGGCCCCTGAATATATTTCTTTCTTTTTTAATTGCTTTATTTATTTACTTTTTTAATATGGTTTTTATTTATTTATTTTTTTAGAGAGAGAGAGAGAGACGTCAATTTGCTGCCTTCTGGGGATTGAGCCCGAGACCCGGGCATATGCCCTGACTGGGAATGGAACAGGGACCTCTCAGTCCACGGGACAATGCCAAAGCTGCTGGTGCAAAGACTATACTTTGCTGGTGCAAAGACTATACTTTGAAAACTGTTTTAATGACTCATTTCGTGATATGTAGCAGTCAGACACCGTTTTTTAGATTCTTACCCTGGCAGTAACTTCTTTTAACTGGACTGCATCAAACAAGTTCCCAGTTTTGTGAGAGTGGAGAGAGGAATATGATTTGTAAATGATATAAAAGCTAATGTTTGGAGTTAGAGTTTTGGCTTCATAAGTTAGGAATAGGGAGAAATAGAGAATAGGTGAGGGGAGAGACTTTTCAGTGGAGGTAGATGGAGGAGTGACTTGTAACTAGTTAATTTTGTTTACACCTCTTGTGCAACCAGCACTTTTAAGTCTGATCTGGCCTCTGTATCATTTTATATAGGTCTGCACAGGCCTTAAAAGTCTCTATTAGTTCCAGATACCTCTTCTTATCGGGGTACCAAAAGGTTTTTGGCTGGCTATGCAAAATACTGGTCCTTTTTTCTCATTGCTGCTTTTGCATCATGATTATAAAATGAATAAATAAATAAATATTTTACATACATAAATATATACAAATGTGTGTATATATTTATTCCTTTTCCTCTGTTTCCAGTATTGCCTGCAATTAGCATTTGATGGGGAAAAAATAATACCATACAACAAAATGGTAAATTAATAATTATTTCCTGTAGGACTTAGTCATCTGAATTGTTTAAACTTTCACTACATTTTTTAATTCTTTATATGCTTTTGCTAATCCTATAGACTAAATGGCAATTACAGATTATAATCTGATTTTCTAAGGAGTTTTGAATGTAGTTTTGTCTCAAAAATATTGAAAAATAATACACTATCACCTGGCCGGTATGGTTCTCTCTCTCTAATAAATCAATAAAAACATTTAAAAATAATAATAATACATCATGGATTAGTAGAATTCTATACTTGGAATAAAAAAATCTGCTTCATGTTTCCATCTCTTAACTTGAGCTCTTTGTGTGACCTTAAAGAAATCTCTGTCTCTGGGCATCACCTGTGAAGTGATGGTTTTGACTGGGTGATTAGTAACAACTCTTCCTACTCTGAAATTCTGTCACTTTTCTGTGGTTCTTATCAGCCCTTCTGTTCTTGGTTGTGTAGTTGATTTTTTGTCACTTGAGTAGAGAGTATTGAAATGTTTAAAAATAAATATATGAAATAAAAACTTAAGAAATTTGCTTTTATAGTTGCTAGTAATAGAAGTTTTAAATCACATAAACACATTTAAAATAGCTAAAAAAGACAAGGTAGATATAAATTCATCCTCAAACTTATACTACCTACTTGTAGAATCAGTTTTAGAACTGAATACAAAATACAATTTTAGAAATCCTGAGTAATTAATGTGCAAATTATATTCTGTAGTGCTTTTTACTAGTTTCTGAAATAGCAAAGTTATAAATCGTTCAACATATTTGCATTCATTTCAGCAAAATGGTTTGACATTCTTTGGATCCAAATGACTCTTTCTTCCTCGACGTCTAGGTTTGATATACGCTTGATGAAGGAGGGCCGTATGAAAGGACAAGCTTTCATTGGACTCCCGAACGAAAAAGCAGCAGCAAAAGCCTTAAAGGAAGCTAATGGCTATGTTCTTTTTGGAAAACCTATGGTGGTTGTATCCTTTACATCAGCCTGTTCCAAAGACTAGTTTTGTGTATTTTTTTTTTTGAGATGGAATTTTTTTTTCCCAATTTTTATTAATTTATTTTTGTTACAGATGTTTTGCCTTTTTCCCTCCTAGACACCCTCCTCCCAATTCCGCCCCCAGCATTGTTGTCTATGTCCATTGGTCATACATGCGTATAAGTTCTTTTGTTTATCTCATTCATACCCCCCGCCCCCTTCCTCTGAGGTTTCTCAGTCTGAACTGTACTCCTTTCCATGTCTCTGGGTCAAAGACTGTATAATTGAAACTAATTTTTATCTTCCTTTAGAAGACTTGACAACTGGCCTTCTAACTTGAGATACTCAGTTACAGACGTACTTAGAGCTGAGTCAGATAAATGTTATTTAGATGTTCATTGGAAAATAAAGGAACCTCAGCAGCATGAGGTTATTAAAATTTAGCTAAATCTAAAGGCTTCGCTCATACAGCTTAAAGTATGTATTCACACTAAGCCTAAGACTACAGTATCCAGAAATTCATTTGGAGTCTTTAAAGAAAGATACGATTCATTGTAGTTTTATTTCATATTTTATGGTATTGTAATTCATATTTATATCTGAGAGTTCTAATAACCAAAATATATCATTGATTAACCATCCTGCTTTTAGTAGTTAATGCAGTTTGCAAGCTAGAAATCAGCAGGATAGATGAGAGTCTAGGTGTAAAAGATCCAGCTGGAGAGAAAAGGAAAATATTTAATGCCAGTAGAAAAATAAATATAAAAGATAAATTCAAAAACTACTTCTACCCTAAATTAGAAAGTTCATGACAATTATTTAGAAAAGATTACTTTCATCTTTGTGAAGGAAACCTTAATTTTTAAATATTAGCAATTTGCTCGATCTGCTAGACCAAAACAAGATTCTAAAGAAGGAAAAAGAAAGTGTTGAAATTGGTAAAGGTAAGTGTGGATATGAATTAATAAAAGCAGGAGAGTGTTTTGGGATTTTGCCACCTAAGCTCTTATCGTGGAGGGTCTCTGTGGTTTCCCCAACCCTACCGGTAAACTTCAAAATTATAACTACAAAATAAAGCCTATTTGTATGTAGAAGTTACATTTGGAGAATTATTTTTATAAGGGGAATGTGTCAAATTGCTGGAGTTTCTGATTTAATAGGTCTAGGGTACGGATCATGGGGAACCAACCCCCCCACCCCCAGTTTTCCTGTGACTAAGTGTATTGGCCAAGCCAGAACACATTGGTCACCTTTGGTGGGGACTGAATATTTGCATTATTAATTACTAATTGAATGCTTCAAAGAAATGAAATATATGGTATGTTTTGTGGACTGAAGTCTTTTGTCTTTCAAATATGTAATTTTAATGCATTTTTAATATTATTATTAAAATGTAGAGTTAAGCATTTCTAACTTTAAAGTTGTGTTACATTGATTTAAGAAAGATGAATGGAAATACATCTTTTTTTAATAATTTTATTTATAATCTTTCTGCCTTTGTATACTGGAAGAACATGAAGTAAATGGGTCAAAATTACTGGTGCTAAGCTGAAAAAAATTATATAATTTAGAGAAAATTTTGCTTAATGTTTATTCCTTCTATGAGATACTTTTAATATTTGAATTTTGTTTTAAAGTGTATATATTGGTATAGTCGGAAGTCCTACAAAACCTTAGTGGAACAGTTAAAAAGAAACAATTTTCAGTGTGTTTTTAAAAAATGAGTTATTTGTCAATTTAATGTGGAAAGTAAGGAAAAATTAAACTGCATTCTGCTGTTCTTCTTTAGAAGCACTCCTGCGTAAATACTGCTGTAATACTGTCATACAAAGTGTATCCTTTCTTGTATCCTTTTTGGGGCAGTACTTTTGTTTTTTGTTTTTCCCAAAAATGTTTTGTCCCTCCCACCCACAGATCCAGATTAAGCAATGATTTTTTGCAACTTAAAAGAAATATTTCTAAATATCATTGTTGACTGAACAAATCTTTTATGGGTTTTTTAGATTTGTTTCTAAATGTTCTATATTTTCCTTTAGGTTATGTAATTTTTTCAGGGAAAGTTAGTGAATCAGGTCAATTTATTTACTTGTAGAATGTATGCATTTACTTTAATACAGAATTTTGTTTTGTTTCTTCATTTTTGTATTTTCTGAACCGAATTCAATAACACGTGTTCTGTTTTATGACATATTTAATTTAGGTATTCTATATAATGTGTTGTAAAATTTGGATGAGGACAGGATTTTTTTTTTTTTTAATATAAATATTGGAAAGCATAACTGGATTCCTTTGTAAATTCCAAATAGCAGACCTCACACCTGAGGTGTTATAATTAAAATCTCCTTTGAGTTAGATAGCAAGTAGAAGTATCTCTCTCCTCTTTCTTTTTCTAAACCAAACAAAACAAAAGGAAGAAAAGAATGTCAGAGGTGGAAGACAGAATGTTGACTCAGGGTAGCACATTAAATGGACAGAAACAGCCCTCTGGTGGGTATGTGTAAGAACAGCGGTTTTCCCACCGGTTCATGGCCAGAATTGCCAGATCTGGTTCTCAATCTTGGCTTCACATGGAAATAACCTGGGAAATTTTTACTAATTAAAAAACAAAACAAAAAAAGATACACAAAAAATATACTAATGCCTGGGTTCTTCCCACAGAGTTTTGATTTATCCATCTGGTGTGCAATAGATACTGGGATTTTTCAGACCTCCCAAAGTTTTGACTAATATGCAACCAAGGTTGAAGACCACTGAGGAAGGATTTTTAGACTTAAAGATTCCTGAACTCTGTCTTAGAACTAGTAAACCGGGATCTCTGGGAATGGGAAAAAGAATCTAATTTGAGAAGATTCCCTTAGTGTAGTTATAAGGACTGACCAATTTGGATACTAGTTGTCAGATTGAAATGGTAAAGCCAGCCCACCCATCCAACTTTTATAGGTGGAAAAGCAAAGGTTGTTGGTGTCTCTCCATTTCCTTCCTGCAAGTCCTGTTATTATCAGAACTGGGAAAACAATTCAAAAATCTGTTAATAATCACTGTCACCCTCACAGTACAGTTATAGATATTGAAATTGCTATTGTATTTTTTTCAGTATGGACAGTTACATGTTATATATATATTTTAACATTATAAATCAGTGTCTGTATAAGCTGTTTTTTAGACAAATAAAATTTTGTATTGACATGATTCACTAATTTTCTAAATATAAGTATTCTAGCTTTTAGTTATCTTTAAAGGAATGAACTGTTTTATAATCATGATTATTTTAATGAATTTTTATGGTATTTTAGGTTCCTTTTGAATTCTGTCTTTCCCGTGTTTTCCATCTTTGAGAAGAAATTGACCACCTGGCCTATGGAACTGTGCGTAACAGCTTTTAAAGTGATGTAACAATTAAGTCTATATGCACTTTAATTAGTTTATTGGCAATATATTATGTGTATTTTAATCAGCTTCATATATAATAAATTATTTTTTCAATAAAAGAATACTTTTAATTTTAATGTGTTTTACACAGCTAGCAAAGTATAATTTGATAATTACATAATTTTTTATTAAGGTAATTTTACAATACTAAATTTAAATTTTATTTTAATATTACATATAATGCCCTTTAAAAAAAATATGTACCTGGATACCAGTGCATATACTTGCAAAATTTTCTCTAATAGTGATCTTATCTCTTATAATTATTCTAGGAGTTTTGTTGTCTGGCTGAGTTTTATTGAGTTTTTAAATTTATTTTGGTCTGTGTTTGTTTTTGTTGTTTTGCTTTTCTCCCCAGTTTAGGGAATTGGTACTTTGCTCTAATTTAGTCTTTGAATTTTGTGCCCCCACAATTTATCACTCACTCAAAAAGTGCACGTCTTTCCTTTGGTGAAGTTAGTTTCCACTCTACGGGAGCAGGAAAACTTTCGTGTGCAGGCACATCTCACAGATACTACAGTCTGCTTCCAGACCACCACATTAAAGCGAGGCACAAATTTTTTTATTTTCCAGTGCATATAAAAGTTATGTTTAAACTATATTGTAGTCTATTTAATATGTGATAGCATTATGCCTCTATATAAAAAATACAATGTACATACCTTAATTTACAGATACAGTATTACTAAAAAAAAAATGCTGCCATCATCTAAACCTATAGTGAGTCATAATGTTTTGGTTGGTGGAGGCTCTTACCTTGATGTTGATGGCTGCTGACTGATCAGGGTCCTGGTTGCTGAAACCCTTGAAATAAGACATCAGTGAAGTTTCCCACATCAGTTGACTCTTCCTTTCATGATCAATTTCTTTGTAGCATGTAATGCTGTTTGATAGCATTTTTACCCACAGTAGAACTTTTGTTGTCTTTTCAAGTCTTCATGTCTTTTCAAGTCTTCAACAGGAGCAGATTCACTACCTTTGCTCATCCATAAGAAGTAACTCCTCATTTGTTAAAAGTTTTATTATGACATTATAGTAATTCAGTCCCATCTTCAGGTTCCACTTCTAATTCCAGTTCTCTTGCTACTTCCAACACATCTGCAGTTACTTTCTCCACTGGAGTCTTAAACCCGTCAAAGTCATCCATTGTTGGAATCAACTTTGAAACCCCTGTTAATGTTGATTTATTTTTCATTTTCATGAAGTGCAGATGTTATTAATGGCATCTAGAATGGGAAACACTTTCCAGAAGGTTTTCAATTTACTTGTCCCAGATGCATCAGAGGAGGCAGTAGCAGTGGTAGCGATAGCTTTATGAAATGTATTTGTGAAATAATATGACTTCACAGGCAAAATTACTCGTGGCCTACAGAATGGATGTTGTGTTAGCAGGAATGAAAACAACACTAAGTTCATTGTACATCTCTGTAAGTGCTCTTGGGTGACCAGATGCATTATTAATGAGCAGTAATATTTTGAAGGGAGTCTTTTTTACTGAGCAGTGGTTCTCAGTAGTAGGCTTAAAATACAGTGATACCTCGGTTCTCGAACATAATTTGTTCCAGGAGGACGGTCGAGAACCAAATTGTTCGAGAACCGAAGCAATGAAACCCAATAGGAAATAATGGAAACTGGATTAATTCGTTCCAAGCCCCAGAAAATGCCTATTTACTGGCCTAATTTGTATATAATATGTAGAAAAACATAAGTCTCAACAAGAAATAAAAGTGTACAGTATGTCTAAGGGTTAAATTCAGTGTAAAGCGTGACTCTCTCCACAAAGCGTGACTCTCTCTCTGCACTCACACTGATGACGCGAGCAAGGCGCGCTGGGCCGAATGAACGCCATTCGGCTCAACTCGGCTCATCTCGGAAGTTCGAGTTCCAAATATTTGTTCGGATTCCAAGACAAAAGGTTCTCGAATCTCCTGGTCGAATACCGATTTGGTCGAAATCCGAGGCGTTCGAGAACCGAGGTATCACTGTATTTAGTAAACCATGTTTTAAACAGATGTGCTGTTCCACTTATAGAGCAAGGGGCACAGTAGATTTAGCATAGTCCTTAAAGGCCCCAGGATTTTCAGATTGTAAATGAGCACTGTTTTTAACTTACAAGTCACCAGCTGCATTAGCCTCTAACGAGAGAGTCATCCTGCAGACATTGGCTTCTCCTCTCTAGCTCTGGAAGCCCTAGATCTTCTTTCAATGCAGGAGTGAGGAACGTTTTTTCTGCCAAGGGCCATTTGGATATGTATAACATTATTTGCGGACCATACAAAATTATCAATTTAAAAATTAGCCTGCGCCCTGGCCGGTTTGGCTCAGCAATTCGAGCGTCAGCCTGCGGTCCAGAGAAAGCCGGGTTCAGTTCCTGCTAAGAGCGCGAGCCTCGGTTGCAGTTTGTCCCCGGCCCTGGTTGGTCATGCGGGTGGCAGCCACTCAATATGTCCCTTTCACATCAATGTTTTTTTCTCTCTCTCTATTCCTCTCCCTCCCACTCTATCTGAACAAAAAATGGGAAAATGTCTTCGGGTGAGGATGAAAAAGAAGAAAAGTTAGCCTGCTCTATTTGGTCAAACATTTCATTATCCCACCCTAATGTGATGGCTGGAACTGGTTCTCTTTGGTGAGGCGTGTGATGTCAGCTGGTATTGATTTCACAGGCTTTATGTGGCCCTCAGGGCAGATGTTCCCCACCCCTGTTCTAATAGAAGACTGTTTGTCTACACTGGACCCTGCTGTTTTGTGCAGCCCCTTCATTAGTTATCTTAGCTGATCTTCTGGGTCACTTGCTGCAGCTTCTACACCAGTACTTGCTGCTTCGCCTTCTCCTTGTGTGCTATGGAGACGGCTTCTTTCCTTAAACCTCGTGAACAACCTCTGCTTTTCTTCTGCAGCCTCCTCATCTCCTTCGGTCTTCATAGTATTGAAGAGAGTTGGGGCCTTGCTCTGGATTAGGCCTTGGCTTAATTCAGTTGTGGCTAGTTTGATCTTCTATCCAGACCACTAAAAGTTTATCCATATCAGCAATAGGCTGTTTCACTTTCTTATCATTTGTGTGTTCACCAGAACAGCACTTCTGATTTCCTTCCAGAACTTTGCCTTTGCATTCACAGTGTGGCTAACTGGTACAAGAGGCCCCGCTTGTGATCTGTCCTGGCTTTCGGCATGCCTTCTTCATTAAGCTTAATAATTTCTAGCCGTTGATTTACCGTGAGAGACACGTGACTCTTTCTTGCATGTTGACACTTAGAGACTGTTGTAGGGTTGTTAACTGGACTCACTTCAATATTGTGTTTCTGGGAGTAGGGAAACAGGAGAGGGAGAAAGTCAGGGAGAAGCTGGTCGGTGGAACAGTCGGAACATACGGTTGTTTTCCAGGTATGCCCTCTACAAGAGCTAGGATGAGTACAAAGCAAGTGAGACACCTCAAGTGTTTACTTTAAGGGTCTGCCTCCTGTTAGTAACATGAAAAAGCGTAATCCTGACAGTAAATCCTCAGACCAAAGGCATAGCATTCGAGTGCTGTTTAAATGAATCAGAAAGTATTTACTGTGCAAACAAGACTTCTTCAAAGTCAATTTCAGGAGATACTAAAGCTTTTGGAGGAAGTACAGCAAAAGAAGCAATACCTAATACACCTAAAATTCAGAAGGCCACTGTACTGAGTGCTTAGTTGTAGTAATTATTTGATGTTTTCCACCCTATAAGAATGTACTTCCCTCAGTGGGTAATGGGGTTCTTAAATAAACTTCAACTGTAAGTTAAGACGACACTTTGTTAGATTTAATTTTCTTAACTAATGCATACAAAACAAAAATAGTGACCTGAGTAGGATGGGTCAGTAGACATTGAGAACTGAACAAAATGTAGGCACATAAGAGAGAACTGATGCTTCTTAGTGGGAGTAGAGTTCCTACCCCAAGAACTTAAGCTGCTGGCTGGCTGAAGCAAGCTGTAGTACAGGTGTAGCATTCACATGAAGGGCAGTAAGGAATCTGAAACAGCCGAGACTCGCTAACATTGCACAAGTGCCAGGAAAGGGGGCCCCAGCACCCAGCCAGCTAGCTGAGTTTTCAAGCCATGGGGAAAAGCTGAGAGAGAGAACAGACTCAACATCTGCGATTAATACCTGCACATCTACAGGGCATTACGTCTATTAAAAACGTACGTCACTGAGAACTGAGAAGAGTGTTTGACAACACAAGAAGGAATTTTAATTTTTAAAATTATGACAGCACCAGTATATGACTTAGATAGTACTTAATGTACCAGGATCTTTGAAAATACAAGAATTCAAGAAGAAAATCTGAGCAGCAGATTAATTTGTTACTTGAAACTTGTCAGAGTTTAGAAAAAGATAGATACAGAAAATACTATTATACATTATTTATGGAGACATTTACTGTCTCATCTGTGGAAGAAAAGGGTGAAAGGGAAGGAGATTGGAGTTGGAGTGGGTAGTGCTGTATATTTTTCTTTAAAAAAGATGTTTAAAGAATATGTTGGCAGAATGTTAACATCCCTTAAGTGTGGGTCTTGGGACATGGAGTCTTTTTTTTATTATTACATTTTTCTGTATGACAAATATATCACAACTAAAATGAAAATA